GAGGAGTGTTATAAAACAGTCTAAAGAGAACATTGACTGAGCTGATGAAAATGACGGCTTGTAAAATGAATTGTCAAATCCCAGAGATCTTAAAACAATCCAGGAAGGCAGAAAGGTAGATGAACTGGCAACATGTACTCTCTTGCTCTCGCTCCCTCTCTCCCTCTCTCCCTCTCCCCCTCACACACACACACACACACACACGTACGTACGTATGGGGGGGGGGGTAGAAACACAATGGCCAGTTATTTGCAGGTGAAAAGAGATGTGAATCCGGGCCCTACAGAATCAGGGGATTCTGGAGAAGGAATGGAAAACTGGAGGGAAATCAAACCAATAAAAGCTTGGCATAGCTCTTTCCTTCAGCAGAAAGATAAATGCTCTCCACTGTGTTTTCAAAACTGGAACCATCTGGTTCAAATTTGTGCATACAATGAGGTAATGTGGACTTCAAGACTCAGTCAAATGAAATTTATATATGTTCACATAAATGTTTAGGTCTAGACCTGGAGTTTGGAAAGAATCCTGGGTTAGGGTGAATACAAAGATGCTTGATTAAAAACAGTCAAGTGCTATCTTCCAATCACGGGTCCATCCAGCCTAGTATCACCTGCACCAGCCTTCCCAACAATGCATGCTCCAGTTGAGGAACTGCTCACACTATCCTCAGTTAGCATGAGCACTGGCTGGGATGTTGGAAATTGTAGTCCAACACTTCTGAATAACATTCATTGGGAAGGCTGGTCCACCCTGGGGATGGATGAATCTGCCAGTTTCAGTTTCTCTCAGTTTTTCATTTTGCCAATCTTCCACTGAGTTCATTTTAAATTATGAATCTTAAACACAGTTTCTCCTGAACTTTGAGAATTTTTTAATGGCTGCATGAAAATTCATAAGCATTTTTGTTCATATGCCCTACATTCATAAGCATTACATTTCACATGAATTTTTGCATGCCTTTTGCTGAATGTCTATTTCCATCCCAAGCTGTTTTCTTAATGCCTTTTTCTGTAACTATACATTTTAGGATACACTTTTGGATTGGAGAACTGCACTGAATTCAGTGGTGACCATTTGGTAAGATAACTGCATTTTGATTCATCTAATTCTTCAAAGGTGCAGAATCATGGCAGGGTTTGCACCTAGTACCTTTCATATACAAAGCATCTTCTCTACTATGAAGATGCAGTTTTTCCCATGATCTTCCAAGCTCCATTTGTGTAGCACTGGCTACATTTTAGATATTCACACTGAATACACAAGACCTGCTGGAGAAAGGTCACATTTTCAGTTCTGTTTTCCAGTCTTGAGCCGATAAATTCTGTGGAAAATCTGGGCTGGCTGGCAGATCAAAGTCTGACAAATTCTCTCATACTCATCACATAATAGCTTTACATAACAGTCCCAGAAGTTGAGATGAAGGCTGCCACCCCACTGAAGAAATATTAGTTCATTAACCACAGGGGCAATTAATTAAATTTTCATGGGGGATTTTTCCATGGAAAAGAAGCATCCTTTTTTGCAGTACTTTCATGTGTCACAGCAGACTATCATCCTAGAGGGGACAGGCCCTGTTCTTCATTCCCCCCCCCCCCCTACACACACACAGAGAGAGAGAGAGAGAGAGAGAGCGCGCGCGCAAGCGCAAGCTCAGAGAAAAAGTGCAGAGAGATTAATCCAACTATATCAGGACAACTGCAATGTTTTGAATTAATTTAGCTGATGAACACAGCACACCTACATTTTGTGCATGTGTGTTTCATATGTGGTCATATTGCACGATGGGTTTTGTAGTTTTAGGAGCACATAAGGTTGCTTTGTGTCTGTGAGTTCTTCATGTGAAAGCTCTAAATGCAAATTAGAGTACACAGAAGTACACCCGGGCATTGCAGGATGTTTGAGGGAGGCAAATATCAGCACCAGTGAGCTTTTCTGAACACTGCTCAAGAATTCTGGGTGCTCACTGCACAGGGTAGTGACCCCCCCAATGATCCTCTGGGACCTTCCTTCTTTCAGTATGAAGCTGCACTGTGTAAGTACATATGTTGGGTGTAAGCCTCTTGTCATACTTCCCAAACACGTGATTTGTTGGAATCATGGCCATCAGAGACAGCTACAGAGGAGCATCTGGATAATGGGAGCATTGGGGCAAGTCTGGCTGATGTAGCCCTGCAAACTTCTCTCATGTTCATCTAATCTTAATGAGTGAGAGGGCTGGTCGACCATTCCTGTAGGAACACACTAAAAGCCTATTTGACTCCATGACTACCTGGAGAAAGGTGCTGCATGGTTCTGTTTGCCTTCCCAGTGATTACCTTTGTAACTTCAGGCAATATCAGCAAGCTCAGGCATACACTTTGCCCCTCACACCTTCTCTCATGTAAAAGAAAACAGTGCCATGTCCCAATATTACACTTACTGCTTTGTTAGGCACTGGCGTGGGAACTGAGGTGTAACCGTGCCATGTGCCTTACGTGCTCTAAACAAGTCTTGTGTGATGCATGGCATATCATCTCCCACTTCCACTCCAGCAATGGAACTTGGCAATAGATGCCTTCCCCCCATCACTCCTTTCCTTGCTGGGTGGGGGCTATGTTCAGTTTTATCAGGACCATAGCCAGGAAGTGTTAAACTTCCCTTCTCCATACATGGTATTTCTAAAAGGAATCAACTCTCCATGCCCACCTACAGGAAGGTTTGTCTGTGTATGAGGAACTGACACCATTGTAAGCCACACTATTAACATAACTTTGAGAACTTTAGTCTTCCTATGTGATTCCTGTTTTACTCCCTTTGATGTATGTGTTGTTATTTTCTAGTGTGAATGAAACAAGCTGCCATTTTTCAGGGTTCAGCTCCCACCTCAAAGTCTTTAGAAGTTAAAATCTCAGAGTCAAACCAGATGTCATTTTATGTGCATCCTTTCATTTTTCTTCTTTTTATAATGGAGCAAAAACCAGGTTTGGGTGGAGATTGGTGGGAAAATGGCATCTGGAGGAAGGACCCCCCCACACCTTTTCAGGGCCCAGAACACCAGGGAGTACATAATGTACCAGTTCAGACACTGCAGCTTCTGGGGTGTGTTTTGAACTGAGAGTTCTTGTACTGTAGATAGCCCAATCTATAGATAGAATTGTAATACACAATTATCACCACCACCACCATTATTTAACCAAAAGAACAGTCACATTTCTGGCTTCTAAACTGGCAGAAGAGAGTAAACTGCAAAGGAAAATGAAGGTGGGGGGGAACCTTAGTAGAGCCTTTGACAATGCATATTTTATTATTATAGTATGGGAGGATAGCTTAGCCGAAGATCTTTGCTATTGAAATGGAGTGGCGTGACTGTGCCCAATTTTTTAAAAATTTATTTTTTAAAGGGTGTGTGCATTTCATTTCAAAGGAGTTAGAACTAACTGAGAGAATACACATGAATAGCAAAGTTACTGAAACCCTTTCTTATTCTTGTAACTCCTTTTTGAGCCTGTTGCATGGCATTTTCACTGATCTCCATATATCAGATGATGAAAATTGAGAAAATACTCAGCTGTGCATTTTGGGTTAAGGGACATAAAAGAGGAAATGTACCACCAAAAAGAGAAAAGTAAATACAGAGCAGAGCAAAAAGAGGTCAGGAGGAGAAATAGGTCTGAGAAGAGAAAAAAATCAAGGAAAACATCTAAGGATGGAAATTTATGAATCAATATTCTGATTTTAACTGAAATGTTAAACAGATAACTTCCTGCTGCACAAAAGTGTAAGTAAATTAAGAATAGACCTGAGGGATGAGAATTTTTGCAGAATAGTAGAACTGAGCCTGTGGGGAGAATATTTTTTGTACAAGTTTTAAAAAATCCAGGCATAAGCATAGGCTTAACACAAGCTGGGCAAGGTAATACACTGAAAACTGATTAATTCTACAGAATGGAAGACTAGAGGGTAATGATGGAAGGGGTGCTAGCAGCATTGCAAATTCTTCAGAATGCCTGACTTGGGCTTACACTGTCCAAACCTAACTTTTTTCTGGATATTAGAGAAAGGAGATAGGGCTCCTCATGAGTAATACCTTTAAGATGTGTTGCTGATGAGGACCTTCTCCAAATGCTTTCCTCTAAGAAGAAGAAATTGGCTTTCCCTTAGAAGGAGGGACATTCTGGTGGTAGCACCAGAATTACCTCAGGAAGGCCATCAATATTCTTATCTGACTTCTTTTTCTTTTCTTTTTAAATTCCAGGCATTTTAAAAACTAGCTGTTTTGGTAATAGCATTGCATTATATACACTTGATTCTTGTTTTTGCATTGTTTTATGGTACTCAAAATGCACTTTGAAATTTTGTGTTTCAAGGTTGTTTAGAAAGGTGGAAGGAAGAAAAGAGGCAGTAAAAATGAATGTTCAAAAGTTAAAAAGGAGAAGCTAAGGCATATGACAATCTTATACTGGGTCAGATTAGTGGGTAGTGTAACTCGGCACTGCATATTGTCAATTGAAAAATTGTCAATTGTTTTCAAAGGCCTTTGCACATTTCTGCCACATTTGACACCTGAGTCCCTCCAATAGAAGATATCAAGGATTGAACACAAGATCTTTTACAGGACAAACATACCATGGACATATGGGCCCTCCAGAATGCATTTTTTAAGAGAAAAGCACCTTTTCCTTTTTCTGCATGCCTATCTGTTGAAAGGAGAACACCACAACTATATCCTTGCATTCATAGAAAAAGAGCAAAAGCAGAGGCAGAGATAGAGATAGATTTCTGAGCTTCATGCCTCCATCTTGTAGACCTGAAAACATAACTGTGGATTCACAGCTGCTAACCAATGCTATAGTATTACCATAGCATGCTGCTTCTCCCATAAAATAGCAATAGAATACAGGCATCATTTCCATCTCAATTTAGTCTTGAGATGGACTAAAGTGTCCATCTTCAGCAGTCATTAACACTCAGCAGTCATTAACACTCACACAAATATACAACAAAATGACATACTTCCTTACCCATTAATGCAAGCAAGAGCATAAGTAGGTGGGCTTCTCTGGTAGCTACCAGACCTTGTTTTTTGACCACTTGCCATTCCACCATGATAGGCACTGCTAGTGCCAGTAGCCAAATAACCAAGTGGGATGAATCCGTAGCTTTCCAAATAAGTGATATGAAAGTAATTGGAAACTGTTGACAGAAAACCAATGATCAGAGATAGGAGTCACCTTGCTTATATGCCTGTCTGTGGAAGCTGGGTTGGGTGCTGGTCTAGAATGTTGACCAACAAGTTCAGCAGATGTTGACATATGTCTTTCCTTCATTTGTCGCTTCATCCTGCTGTGGCCAATTGCCCAGGTTGCCAGGAAGATGGGAATGCAACAAGAGGCCACACCTGGATCTACCATGCCCAGTCATCATTCTTCCTATCTTATCCACCTGCAGTTCCACACCAGCATTCATTCTTTGTGTAGCACTTTGGGAATGGCAGCTCTCAATGTAACATAAGCTGAAATCGGAGCTCCTGGGGAAAACAAAAATGATTATGAGTGACAACTCCAATAAACCTAGTGGTTCTGTAATGTTTTTAGGAGAATTGCAGAAGAATGCTGATGATTCCACTGAAGTGACTTGTGCTTTTCAAAGGCTAAGAGACAAGATCCTACTCTGAGAGGAAGAGAATGGGAATGGAGGCAAGAATATTAGTGGAAAGACTTTTCAATGCCTTTAATTACTCAAGTTTAGTTTCCATGGGGTATGAGAATTCAAAGGTTATAGCAAAAGCTTCACAAAAATGTGGGTTTTAAAGAGGGTGTAAAGGAAGTAAGGAGATCATGCCATACAGGTGTTTCTGAAAAGCAGTTTCAGGTGCAAGAAACATCAGGGAGAAATGATAGAATCATAGGAAGAAGCAGGTGGCTGAGAATGATGGGGCTAGAGGAGCAAAGGTAATGGACAGGAGAATCTCAGGAGTAGCCTCAAACAAACCTACACTCACTTGCTGAACTCAGTGGCATTTACTTTTGAGGCAACATGGATTGGAGAGTGCTGTAAGTTACTTAAGAATTATTTCAGTCTGTAATTCTCTTTAAATGGTCTTGATCTTTATGATGAGGATCATTTGAGCACTGAATATAAAGGAGGAGGAAGAGGGAAGAGAAAGTGTGTTTGTGGTTCCCCATAGAGATGAAGAACAGATTCCTGTGGCCAATGAGTATGAAGAACTGGTGTAGAGAAGCCCAGGCTATGCTTTCCAGCTGAGGGTGGGGACAAATTGTGAACTCTTCTCCTTCCTTTGAAGGAGGAGAATTGGGTTGGAAGGCAGCCATTAAAAATACATCCAGGCAACCAAGCATGTTCTAATATGTCCTCCATTTAATGCAAAGTTTACCAGAGGATGACAGGAGGGGGTTGAAGGAGTTAGGCAATAAAGCCAAGAACAAGTACGGCATGTGGCCATTGGGCTCTCTCATGAACTGCATCCACTGCAATTGTTACTAGCAAAACATGTTTGTTCATCAGATAGAAAAAAGATGGCCCATTTGAGGTCTCCTTTTCCGTCATCAAATATTGCAATCATTGCCCCCCCCCCACTCCCGCCTGTTCTGTTTTGGAGGTTTTAAATAATACCTTTAAAACAAACAAATTATAATTCTTCCTCAAAATGACAATTCCTCAGAACTTGCTCACTTTCAAGCATCACTTTGTGATGGACACTGGTAGCAGCACTCAAAGGATATAGATCAAGTCAGGGTATAAAAAATGAAGATACCACTCTTTAGAACCTCTGAAGCTGTTTCCCTTAGGATGGTTGCTGTATTCCCAGAGATTCCTCCCAGGTGGAATAATTGTTGTAAATTATTATTGCTGTAAATGACTTCAAAGAAATGATTCTTCTCCTGAGAGAACTTATGCCAATTTAGTCATTTCAAGAGGGAAGCAAAGACACAATGTAGGCTTAAAACTAGTTTTTAAGTAGCAGGCTTCAGCTGAAGGGTGACAAATCTCTGCCTTTGGGAAAAAAAAAACAGTGTTTACATCTTGTGGTACAGTTGAATAAACTTTTATACCTTGCCTCTCAGCTCCAGTTACCTAAAGTAGTTGTGAACCTAACTGAAGCAGTCAATCAGTCAAGTCTTCCTCGTATGGTCAAGAAGTAGTCTAGCTCAGCCTACCTAATCATCTTACATGATGTGTTGCATGTGGCTTTTACTTACTTTATACTAATGATTGCTAGGCTGCATTTTATCTAAAAAAAAACCGACTGGCCATATTCACATAAAGCTGAGACACATGATTCAAGTGAGACTCAGCAATTTACACCTGATAGTGGAAGAGATTAGATCTATAAATCAGTGTTTCTCTTATAGTTTGGCCCCATGTAGTAGCAGTAGCTCTCTCTCTCTCAAAATGAAACGTGCTACTAAAACAAGGACACATTTTTGCATAAGATCTGAATATATTAATATGTACATGCAAATTTAGCAATCATAACTTGTATTTAAATGTAAATAGAATATGTCTCATGATCTTGGGGAAGAGTGTAACTAAGTGCCCCATGAGTCTGTTGTGCAGGTGCCCATTGTTGATGGACAACTTCTAGGCTCCTTCTCTCCCATTGTAGGGTTGTTTGGCTTTAAACCAGACTCTGGGGTTAGATGTTGAGATTTATTAGAGTAGGGCTTTGTGCTGTGTTCCTCACCCCTGTTCTGGGGAGGCATCAGGAATGCCTGATTAAGTAACAGAAGAAGCTGCCTGAGGCATATGGGGAATCTTCTTCAGAGGGAAGGATCTGGAGGTAGATTTGAATTTCTAGTCCACCATTTGTATATCTGTGGGTGGAAGATAGGTCCATACCTGGACCTTAGACACAAGGGCCCATGGGTCCTGCAAGAACTCCCCCTGCCACCATCAGGTATTCTATCCCACTTCCATTTTCTGTCTGTTCAATTTCCTTTATTTCAAAAAGGAAATATCTTAAATATTATTTATTTTATTTGTGCAGATAAAAGGGACAACCTACAAATAAGATTCTACTCAGTTACTCACTAAGTGAAGTAGCATTAACATCATTTTACACCCTCTTTCAGCTTTTTGCTATTTTGTTGGTTTTCATTAATATGCTATTTGTTTGCCTCTGTGATTTTGGGCAGTGATCCTTGACAAGGGAAGAAGGAAGCAATTTTGAAATGCTGGAGAGTTAGAGAACAGGGCAGGACTTTAAGGCTGCAATGCTATTCACTCTGAGTCCCACTGAACTCAACTGGATGGACTTCCAGGTAGAAAAGCATAGAATTGCACCTATTGAACAGAGAAGCAATACGTTAAGTTTCAGATCTTTCTAGGTGTAGTGTTTTTAAGGGAGAAAATGCATTCTAAATGACCAAACTTGAAACTATTGAACAAGTTATAGCCAAGATTTTGATAGTTTAAATGTAGCTTTTAGAATTCTGATACATATGTTAAGATTTGACTAAATTTTGGACAAATGCACATTTCCGTTTCAACCTTATTGTAGTGGCCTTTGTGTTCATGTACTATTTTACTTCAGCTGTATTTAATTGAATATTTTGCATGTTTCAGAAGTATTCAGTTCATGTCACCCATCTTCTCAGCATCACTAATTTCATGCAGAAATCACACAAATACAAGAAAGCTGTCCTTAACCCAGTATAGCATTGTTTTCAGACTTTCAGGATCTCCATAGCTGGGAATAAAATAGTGATGGCAAGGCAGTAGGCCCAAAATACACAAAATAAAAGACCAAAATGCCTCTGAGCAATCACCACCACGAACATTGTCTTAATCAAAACTTAGTTTGCAGTCTTGCAGTCAATTCACCCTGATTAAATTCATTTCAGCTGCCTCATTTTTGTAGAAGGATGCAGGTAATCCCTTTGTGGTTGCTTTAGTTAAACTATGGGGTGGGGGAACCCTTTTCAGTGCACAAGAAATCAACCCAGGAATTGTTACCACCAGATCTCAATATATCTACTGCCACTCCTTAAAGGTAACCAAGTTTTAGTTTGGAGCATAGTTGTTTCTACAGTGTCTTTCCTGGAACAAATTATACTTGCCAGTAAACAAAGGCACACATATTGCTGGTGTTATGAAATTCCAGCTTATGCTTATTCTCTTTATTTTTGCAAGTGTATGTTGACTGTTAAGTTGTTTGCTGCAAAATTACTCATTGAAGGATGTTACTTCACAGGCTTAATACTGACAGCTGGCAAGTGCTTGAGGCATAAAATTACCATGTGCTAATGTGTGTCTCACCCCTTGTTTTCGTGCACTAAAATCACAGTATCCAAGAGCTTGAAGAGATTCTAGGGGGCATCTAGAATAGTTGCCTATCCCATCAGTTTATTGTGCATCAGCACCAGCACCCCAAACTTTTTAGGTCAGTGAGCACATTTGGAATTTTGAGTACACTATTTGCCTGCCACAATGGGCCTTGCCAGTCAAAAAACACTTCCATAAGAAGCTAGAGACAAACAGGAGACAGGGTCTGAGCTCCAAGACACACTTATTGACATGCTGGAAAGCAGCACCTTGCTTCGTAGCATACTATCCTCCCAGTTAAACAAAAATACATATTAAAAGAAATAGTATTCAAGTCAGGAGAGGTGGAGAGCATGCTAGGCACCCAAAGAGATGTCCATAGGCAAACTGGAGCACGCAGAACCACACTGGAGACCCTAAATGCATATCATAGGTGGGAAACCTCTGAAACACAATGGGAGTGTGTGGAATCTCTGAGCAGGAATAGAGTGGCACATGGGCCTCTTGTTTCATAGCTTCTTGCCTGCATTTCAGCCTGCCTCTGCTTTTTATCCTGAGGCCTACACAGGAGACGAGAGACAAAGCCACACCAAGGCACACTGTGGAACAGGAGTAGGAGTCTTGTGATATGAGATTTGGGATTGGACAGAAAGGGGGTTTATTGGCCCGCGGTTGGCAGGACAACTGTGGTTCTGCTCAGCCTTTGTCAGCTAAAATATGTGCAGGGTGTAACCATTGGAACTCAGGTGGCCCATACCAGTTGGCTGGTGACTGGAGAGGAGTACTCAGCTAGGTTCCACAGGAGAGAGGAAACTTTAAAA